TTTTTAGGGGGTAACCAATAACATTTTTAATTATTCCCAGAAAACAAAATCACCCCCTTAAAAAGTGATTTTTCCGAAGTCTGATTGCAGCCATTTTTCAAGTGGCAACCCTCAACTTTCTCGGGCACTTAGGACCATTTTTCAATCGTAGTTTTTAGCCATTTTGCTCTCATATGAAAGCTCATCAAAGACCCAGGGAGTTGATCCCAGCAACGATTTACACAATCTCACCATTTTGGGGGCCAAACAATCTCCTTTTTCAAAAGATACTGTGGGGGCACTTTTAATGCTAATGAGCAGGTCAGAAATTCTCACTTGAATTAGTGGTCTGCACCCAGAGCGGCGCTATACTAAAGCTATACAATCTGTGGTACAGACTCTCAGTACATGTATCACTGAGATGACGAGCACGTTACACATGCACATGTACTTGCATGTTGTTGCGAAGTGGTTCGGGGAAAAGTTAACTTTCTAAAGGTGAACATATCGTTTTACAACTGTCTAGTGTTTTCTTCCCTAATAATCGATGGAGAGGTACATGAGTATAAGCAACAATTTCTTGTCCAACAACTTCGTGGATGGTGAATTGGCAACGCGATGCACCATCATGGGTTGGTTCTAGCATGGAGCTATATGGTTTTAGATGAGTTATAACTCTAAGTTGAGAATAACCGCCGGATGTCACCTCCAACATTTTGTCCTTAAAAATCAGCGTGTTACAACATCTCAGAAGTGGTGGCTATAGTTGAAATGTTAAAATGTTATTATTAATTTGTTTTGAGATCTGTGTCCTGCCTCGCAAAACGAGTAAGTAAAACAACATTGACTATATACATGAACAAAAAACAATTATGTCTGGTAAAAAGCACAAAATATTTTATTGATGTTCACTCCAACCCTTTCCCCGATGGATATGTAAATCGTTTAACATTATGTTCTGCTCTGGTTGTTTAAATTGTTGATTTAAATCAATTTAAATTTTATATGATACGTGACTCGACTGCTAATTTAATCATAGTGATCACGGGGTCATGGCCACTCAGGTCACAATTTGACCATAGAGGAAACTGCGATCATTGTCACTAGGTGACCTTCTCCTACTCTGACACGAGGACAATAGTACAGTAAATTGGGGTCACAACTGGTACAGAGCTATATAATAAGCCTACAGCCACAACGGACTTTCAGCTTGGATAGTGACATGTCTTCGAGCTGCGTCATCATCGACTCTCATAACTGTGCGAGTGTGACCCAGGTGAAAATAAAGGTGCCTCTGAAATAGTAACAAAAATTATTAGATTCCATAAACCTCGCGACTGAACGTCTGGGCTAATTGGTGGAGAGCTGAATTGGTGTGGAGGACCAGGGGACTCGGCTAGAACTGAACAAGCATAGGCCTAAAGGGTATGTATTTGCTAAGTATGGTTAGACCTGCTGCGTGCATGGGTTGAACTTGGGATGTGGCTGCTTCTAACGTGTCGCTGCGCACCGCTTAGGCGCTATGCGTCCTTCGTGTAAAATGTCATATCACATCATAGCAGTTAACAATAATTGTTTGCTCATATCTCAGTCTTATCTATCTTGATGTTTCCCACGTGTTTTTCTGAGGCAAATTAAGGGCGACAAAGGAATGTTTGAATTAACGGTGTGGTTAGCACGCAGTGTTGTTGACTCGAGTCGCTGACTCGGACTGGAGTCAGACCCGAGTCGCTATTTTTTAGACTCGAGACTTGACTTGACTTGGGGAAAAATGACTTGAGATTTGACTTGAAAACAAAAGACTCGAGACTTAACTCGACTTGAAAAAAAATGACTTGGTTACAACACTGTCAACGCGCGGTCACCCCTGCGTTGCGAAGGATAAAAACTAGATGGGAAACGCGTGCGTGTGAGCCATGTATACATGTAGTATGAGACATTGCTTGTGCAGAAAATTGTCTTGCTAGAGTGCACGGACGCGCTTAACAGTCACGTGAATGGGGCCACGCACTGACAAAGGAATGATTTGCCCAAGACATTAGCCCAAGGAAGTCTCATGGGTCAATTAATTTTCATGGGCCAAACTTAGGTCGTGCTGTTTCCCCCAAAGTTGGATCCCATCGCTGTTAGCCATGGAGTCTCCATGAGAGAATGTGGAAAGAAAATGCACTACTGGAGTTAACGTGACCCCTATTCGCGGACGCGACTTTGCGTGACGTCGGGTCAGTGCGAGGTGAAAACAACGCATTTTACGCGTTGCTTTTCATAGCAAAGGTGCGTTGACCTCGGGTTGTTTTTACCGCGCTGGCCGGAAGTCATGCACAAGTCGCGTCCTCCTATACACATTTCCATCGATATCGCCCATTGCCGTTAAAAGTTTATAAATGTATTAAATGTCCGGCATTAAAATAAGATGTTAAATTCAGAAAGGAACAGTGTGATCACTGTTGTGAAAGTGCACTGCATACTTAGACAGCGCAGTGCAAACAAATGGAGTACGCACGCGCTGGTTCTCGCGCTAATGCCTTTTACACACTAATTGTGCGCATGACGTATTCACTTCGGTACTTCATACCAGCCCGTTTATTTGAATGATACGTTTCCCCCAGTTCTTAAATCCTGACGTTCTTGTCGCTACTTCCACTTCTTTAGCACTAATAATATTACAGTTGATACCCCACCAACTTCGTACTTACGAGTAGTAAGTCATTTTGTGGCAAGATGGAGACTTCCCGTCAGAGTTTCTGCTTTTGCTTCCGGCTACATGGAAAATACATGTAGTGCAATGCAGCTGTACCATAGACCTAATATACCCTAATATATATGTCTGTGAGCTGTACAGATTCTACTAAAGCCCAATCGTGACAATGATGTATAATTTTTAGCATGACACTTTTTTAAACGAATTACTTATTCCTAATACTAAATTACTAATTCGGAATAACGAATTGCTAATTCGTAATAACGAATTGCTGATTCGAAATAACGACATGCTAATTCGAAATAACGAATTGCTAATTCGAAATAAATTACTAATTCGAAATAATGAATTACTAATTCGAAATAACAAATTTTAATTCGAAATAACGAATTACTAATTCGTAATAACGAACTGCTAATTCGAAATCACGAACTACACACTGATACACAGAGCCCTTAAATGGCGCTCTTTCATCAGGCAGGAGCTAGGCACCCGTGGCCATGGAAATCACAGAGATTTGTATGAGATTAGGAGTGCACCCACGCATATGGACCAGAAATATGTCCGCTGAGCTCATTAATAAGAGTTATACATAACTATTCTATATTTGAGAGCCATGGGATTGGGGAATTGAAGAAAATGGCTCTGTACCTCTGGCCCGGACTCAGGGCTTCAAATTCTGAGCAATATGAATGCAGTCAGATCCGAAAGAGGCACTATGGAGCCTGAAAGTTGACCCCTGATGGCGCGCTTCCGGAACCCTTGGATAGGAATAATAACGTGCAAAGATTTTAGAATTTGTAATATTTTTTCGTTCGATTACTTCTTAAAAAATCTAACTCCCAAAAGGGGTGTTGGAAAAATTTCTATATCAATTTATAGAAACTGAAAAATCACCTGACCTAAAAAAAAATCACCTGCCAAAAACTGACCCATCGCTTCCGAAAATCTAAAATGCATAAAGAACAGTGCAATGCGGCAGTCTCGTACGCAGATAAACATTTACAGTTTGAAATTTTATGGTAGTCTGTCAGTAAAATTTTTAGAATATTATAAGATAATAAACTTAAAGCAATATTCTACTTTTACGAAAAATTCTAATAAAAAATTCTAATATGTTATCTAACCTTTGCTGACAACAACTACGTGATGTCAGCTCACCGGAATCTGGAACCCATCAACTGCAGGTAGATATTTAATCTTTGCAACGTTGTACAATCTCGTTTTCACGAAAGCACGGGGAGTGAAAACAAACGTGCGTGAACAAGGAGACCTAGGTACGATTTCGCCGGACGTGAAAGGTCGTTACGGAAATTCGTTTTTTACTCATCTCCAGGTGACTTTACCCAAATATTATTTGACGAAGACAAAGTTAAATTCCAACACGAGTGTTTCATGAGGTGGTTTGAGTTAGGAATTATTCTTCCAAAAGTTATCGAACGTGATAGGACGGCCCAATGTAAAATCCCCATGGGCAGACCGCGCGAGGATTCCGGAAGCTAGCTGCGTGACCTATACTTTCAGGCTCTATTTAGCCGTTTTGAAGAGGGATGCATTTTGAAAATGGCTACTTTTCCGGGCAGTGAAATTCCCTTTATTTTAGGAGTGGTCTGCTGTGGGTGAGAATTTCTCAAAAATCATCGGTCAACCCACAAAAATTGAAAGGAACACGAAAGACGACATGTCAAATATCATTTTGCTGTCCAGCTTGGACACCTGTGAGAGTTGTATTTTAGAAATAATTTTGAAATAAAAGGATTTATCATTGGTGTCTATGGGAATAAATTTTTAGGGGTGCATCCTTCGACGTATGAAACATGCATGCCTCGAATCACATGGGAATCAATGCAAAACAGCTCCACCTGGAGTCTCAAGTGATTCGTTATTCGGATTAGCAATTCATTATTACGAATTAGTAATTCGTTATTACGAATTAGTAATTCGTTATTTCGGATACTAATCCGAAATAACGAATTAGTAATTCGTCATTCATCTATTGTCGAACGTCCATGACTTAACCCTAACACTCCTCAACCCTTCACCTGTTGGAGGACTGAGGACTGTTGGGGTTAATGTAGACACAAAATAAATGAACTCGCACACGCAGAATCCCAAAGGATCCCAAACTGACCTTGAATTCTTTCTGCGTTTATCTTTTTCCTTGCCTGTTTCGATGGAAATCTTGGGGCTTGTGTACTGATTTCATGGATGGCATGGCACATTTTTAATTTACAAATAGGCTATTAATCACTGCTCGCATACATAGCAAGATCGTATAATCCACTCTCTCTGAATAGATCTAGAGTGACGTCACAAGAGTGCTTTAATCTACAGAAACACAGCTGGTTGCAGCTACACTTTCGACAGCCGGACACACTGCCAACGGCAGCATCTCCGTACATAGCAACAGCAGCACACCAAGCATGGTCGAGCAGGCAGAAGCAATGACCCAACGAGCCGGCAAGATGCTGGACTACGTCGTGCAGAACGCAGTGGAGGGAGACGCAGCAAGCATCATACGCGCCGCTGACGACTACGGCTACAAGTGCGAACAGATGATGCACGTTGGTGCCATGAAAGGTATTTTGGTTGGATGGGGAAACAAGACTGTCAGACCTTGTGCAGATGGGTTAACTCATGGCCAGTTGTGCATTAACCAAAAACAACTTTAAATCGGCAGAGTTCCATATTCCCGGTAACAAATACCTGCACCTTTCGCATGTATTCATGAATACACGGTTCAAGCTAAGGCAGCGCAGAGGATGTGTTTTCTTGATACAATGTCCAAATTTATTAAAAACTTCTTTTGAATCCTGGTAAGGTTACGTGACTGGACTCTTAAAAATTTCAAGAGGGAATAACTGAAAAGAAAGTGGCCATGGCTATGACTCAGCGCATGCATGCTTACTTTGAAGCGAAGTTTTGAAGCAACATGTCACCCTGGGTCCCCTCCCCCTTTCCACGTCAGGTGAAATAGTCCGGACAGTCGTCAAAGAGCTAGCCCCAAAAGTTGCTTTGGAACTGGGCACCTACTTTGGCTACTCAGCCGTGCTGACTGCTAGTGTCATGCCCGAGGACGGCCAGCTTCTGACGGTCGAGTTCAACGAGAAAAACGCTGACATCGCCCGAAAGTTTATACAATTTGCCAGAATGGACGATAAAGTAAGACGGAATAGTCTTGATTCTTTTGACTTTTGAATATGAAACATGACAGGGAAGCACAAAGTGTTAAGCAAAAACATATGAACGAACTAGGGAGCGACAGTCAATCGTACATAAATTAAAATTGCTTTCGTCCTAAGTTGTTTTTTATATATATAGAAATGACTTTCCCGTGAGGCTGACTCTTTACATCGAGCCGCATTATTTTAAGAGAGAGAACTAGAAGTCAAAATAGTCCCGGTATTTCGAATTCCCTCAACAGGTAACCCTTATTCAAGGAGATTCTCGCGAGGTCATCAAACTAATGCACGAAGTCTACCGCGTCAAGACATTCGATTTCGTGTTTTTGGACCACTGGAAAGACGTCTACAAGCGTGATCTCAAACTTCTTGAGGAAAATAGCCTCCTCCACAAGGGCACTGTGATCCTGGCTGATAACATGATCAGGCCAGGATCTCCAGCATACTTGAAATACGTGGAGACCTCGGATTGGTACCAGACCGAACGGAAGTACTCCAAGTTACAATATTCGAAGGATGACGATGCGCTGGCCAAGTCTGTGTATTTAGGACCTTAATCCATTCGCCTATATCCACAGATTACAGGACCCCAGACGGATGGGATGCTTTGTTCAGGTTGCTTGACGTAATTTCCTCGAAGGTTTCTTCCCTAATTATGGTAATAATTATTTCTTTTAAACTATAACATTTTTGTGTGGCAGACTTTCAGCAGGGTTGTAGTATATTATTATAGGCTATGTAGCACTGTTTCTATCCATCGTGTCTCCTAATGAAGTCAACTATAAACGCAAAGTAGCGCGGTACAATTAAGCGTACAATAGGCCATTTGGGGCGGCTGACAGTGAACAATTTTAAAAGTGACTCCTATTAAGAATATTTTGTGAAACTTTCTTTATTCGTATAGTTTATTCTAGCTTAAACGAACGCTGAAAACATCACAACCGTGCAATAAAAGCTACCAATCATAATGCACGCATGAAATACGTTCAAATATTGAGAAACAAAACAGGCATTGTGCACGGCGTGTAAATATCAACTCTTTTCTCGTTTGTTTCTATATTTTTTAAAAAGTCTAGCATCTATTTGTTTCTTTAACCTACTAACTACACGTTTTCATGCATGTGACAATATAAGCTGAAAATACACATGGAGCAAAATAAGGAAATGGGGGGGCAGAAAAGGGAACAAAAGAAGAATCGAATCAGAAGTTACAGACTGACAGTAGTCACTCGGCACAATATAAGTTTAATATCATTCGTCTTTCCGCGCATAGGCCCCCACCAACATCACATAATACATGTATCTTAAAGTTGGTATTAAGCATGGGTTGATGACAATTAGGTTTAAACCTGTTTATCGGTCCATCGTCCGGTGGCACGAGCAGTCTTTTTCATATTGGATCGGGTTTCTTCAGGGCGTCTTCTTGAATGTATCATAAATTAACCTTGCGATTCTTCTAGGACCTATATACTGATTTCAATGTTTATAAGGGGGCATACTTGGGTATTTTGTGCGATGACCAATGATATTTATGATTTGCTAAAAGGCAGTACTATTATAGGCCTGTAGGCTACAACATATATTCAAATTTTGCTGTGTTAAGGTTGATTAACAATATTATCTCCATTACGTCCAATTATACATAAAGGTACAAAAACTTGAAAAAATATCACTATGTGTAAACGTTTATTAATTTGTGTACTGTAATTTTGTTGTTTTCGCTTAGTTTTGCTCAGATATGAATCAAAGCGTTAACACTTTCAATGCAACCCTTTGCCAAATGCACACGGGGTTTTAACAAGGCCTGCAATAACGACGCATGCAAGCTTATCAAAAACAAACAAAATAAATAGACAAGCAAATAAGCAAACAGGCAAACGAACCAAGACGATACAAAACAAAACATTAAAAACGCATGGATAACATAACCAAGATACAAGAAAGCCCAGTGAACTTAAGGCGAGTTTAAAGCGATTTAGAAAAACGGGCAGCAAACCATGACGCGCAGTCAAGGACGTGACACTCGGAGCTCTACATTAACCGAGGAATGGAGAGGCTTTGGCCAGTTGAGATATCAACACTCAGGGCACAATGCAAATTGACCAGATACAAAGTTGGGACTGTACCAGCATATTTCGAGCTTTACTGACCTCAATTTAGACAACAGTTCTTTTAGAAAGAATTAAACGCTAAGTCTAGCACCATCAGTTTAGACATGGTACAATTCCTGTCAAGACTCTACAGAAACAAATATCAAAACAGCAAAAGCACATCCTTTAATCCGTTCATAGTCTCCTCTTTGCAAAGGCCAATTGAGAAATAACAGACGGTCAAAAGCGTCAATACAATGGTCACTGGTTAATCAATGTCATCCGTTGCAACACACAAAAATGCGTTTTTCTTCAGTTAGTGTCATCTACAGAAAACCTGACAAGTTATCAAGCTTCAGGCCTTTGTCTTAATATCAGACAGTCGTCAACTGATAGTAATACGTTGAGCAAATCTAGATTATTGGTTGACGTTTCTGACCTTGGTGTCACTGATTCGTGGCAAGTTCGCTATACATCCCGGTTTTCGGTTTGAAGTGTAGCTCTCCACTCGCCACACTGTTTATTTACAATCTAACGATATGCCGTTTCCCTTGAAAATGAAGGTGTCACGGGCGATGATTTCTTTTGAATCTTGTTGACCTTTAAATTAATTTCTCTATGCTCTGTACTTTCTGCTGTTCAATTAAAGAAAAGATGGCCTTGCAACTGTTTTTATATGCTGGCTCTCCATAGTTTAATTAATAATGTGTACACTGCCCAGTATAAAGGCATTAAGAAAAATAAAGTCATCTTGAGGTAATTAAACATGTTCAAGTTATACATATTACTTTATTGCACTCACATCAGCTTGAACGAAAGGGAGTTTTATGAATTTATGAACCATATTTGGAACAGCATTTTTCTCACAAAAATCAAAATTATGCTCTGTATCCGTCTGCATTTATGCACTGCAAACATTGTGCCTCATATAACATCAGTACATTCATAAATGTACTCATCTGCAGCTATTTTTTACACGATCTGATATGGAGACAGTCAATCAACGGCCGGGAAAATTTCAGACAAGTTTCCACATTCTGGCTACATATTACCTTCCCCTCGAAAGCAATTTTGACGTGCATAAAAAATTGAAAACTAACAGTGAGACATCTAGTGTCCACTTCTGAAGGCACTCACATAGCACAACTAAACTAACACAAACTCAACAAGCGCCAACTCAATGTGAAATGAAATGAAACCAAGTAATCATGTACATGTAGATATAACCTAAACGGATAAACGTTCAAATAAGGTACCCAGGGCCAAATACCATCTAGGGAAAAGGCTACATTACATGAACATGAATGCCATTAGATATCTGTTTTCGGGGGGTGTTCTGTGGACAGATTTTTTAAACCTTATTGCCATTTTTCCTGAGAAAAATTTACACAGTACATTTTAAAATAAATACGGCTGATTTTTTACGCATGTGATCAATGAAATATTTCATATCATTTGTTTGGATCGTCTATTATGCAATGAAAACATAAAACAATCTTCACATGGAATGACCTCAGTTAATTGAATACCGGTACTATCAATTACCTTCACTGGTTGCTGACCAAACAGATTCACTGTTTGGGTATTCCAGGCTATGAACATCCTCCCTGAGGGCAGTTCTCCTCGTAGCCACTGCCTGTAGTATGCAAAAGGGAAAAGGCAAAAAGAGTCATAGCTTTTCTCATACTTTTTTATTTACGCTTGTTTACAGCTCATGCCAGTATGCTATACAGCTTTGATTTAATGACACAAAAGTGAAAGCCTGGTTTAAAAAAATGGAAAGAGATGCCTTAATGACAGGCTGATCGGCAGGTTTCAAGTTCATTTACATAACATGCACTTTTATGATTTTACAGTCACTACACAGGATTTTTATGGTTAAATCTAATGACAAACTAAAGCCACCTTTCAATTTGGTCCCAACAATTACTGTCAATATGCAGTCAGTCATGGAAGACACTGTGTGTAATGTCAAAACAAGATGGAATCTGCAACCCCGAACAATTTTCTTGTAAACAGCCTTTTTAGGTAGTTATGTCCTTTCTTTAAGCTTAACTAGCATTTCATTTATGTCTGGTATCATTTCATTTATGTCTGGTATTTTGTTGACAATATTGTTGACAGTTATTAGCCATAAATGAGATTGGTGGGCTGACTAACTGGTACTCAAGCAAGAGGGGTGTTGTACTCCCGTCATGTCAATGTGTGAGTTTCCATTGGCTAACCCTGACGACTCCACACAACTGGTAAAGTTAAACATGATCAAACTCTGCCAACTATCTATGTTTGCATAAAGTCATGATAACTTTTCCATGTGACTGCACATCATTGGTGACTGTACAACGAGTCTAGGCTGAAGATGCCCCCTCCCCCAAAAAAATCAGGATTAGATAATGACATAAGTCTCGCACTTTTTTCAGGATTTCTGCTATGCTGGTTATCCGCTGCTCTCCAAGTTCAGAGAGACTTGGTAGCTGACTGGGATGGGGACAAGCCTCCGTGCTCCTGAGTTTCCTGCGTTGTGCAGCCAACAGACCAGAGTCCAGACTCACACGGCCTGCAAATGGCTGCTGACTGTCCTGGTACCTGGTCCTTGGGAAGGATGGACTCTGTCCGGGGTTCTGCTTATTGTTTCTGTTATCAATGGGGGAGGGCTTTGCTACCATCAACTGGATTGGGGGTGGAGCTGGGACCTCTTGCCTTGCCATGCTGCGGCATATCCCTGCATCTTTTGGGGGAGAACATGATGATTCCTCTTTAGTCTCTGTGGGTTGCCTGGATGAAGTCGGTGTCTGTTTACTATCATCCTGATTGAGTCTTAGTCTTGAGGCAGCATCACCACTATCCTGCAGAGTTTGGTATTTATTACTAGAATCGGTTTCTTCATCCAGACTATCGTCTTCTATATCCTCACTGATAGAATCTGAAGTCAAAGCTAATGCAATCCTGTCATCCAGGTGCTGTTCACGGCCTCCTGAAGGTGACCTACTGCTATTCCTCCTGATTGGGTGGGCCTCGTCTGACACATCCACAGCCCTCTCATGGGAGGCTAGCACAGCCTCATCAAGTTCTCGCTGCGTCATCTCTATGGATCCACCCACGAGGGCGATGATGGAGCGAGCCGATGCAGGATCTTCCATTGCCTCCCGAGGAATGTTGGCAGCTGACAGGAGAGACCGCCACTCCGGCGGGAATGCAAGAGCCTCAAGTGATATCAGAATGTCCTGCATTGGGGATGAAACAAGCAACACAAGGATTCAATCATCAAGTCTGTGAAATGGATACTAAAATTCTAAAACTACTGTCACTATTGGGAATTTGAAAAGAATATTTACAACTTTTTATGCCATACTGTCTTTGTCTTGATGAAATGAAGCATATGGCTATAAAGTCCACTCAAAAGTATTCAAAAGAAAGTTAAAAACATTTTGCATATATTTACCTCAGTATGGTCAATACAACAATATACATTCATATAATGCATTCATCTAGAAACCCATCCAAGGCCCCTACACACAGACAACAGTCATGCTCTAGACCAAGTGAAATAACTGGTGAACGAAATGAGATTTCAGTTTTCTCTTGAAGTTGTCCTGGGATATTTTTTGGGCAGAGTGCAGCTGGGAATTTTTTCCACATGGTAGGCACTGCTTTGGAGAAGACACACCAACCACAGTGGATAGTTCTGGCTCTTAGATCTGTTAACAAGTACGAGCCACAAGATCTGAGAACCCAACCTGCTTGCTTGAGGGAGATCAGCTGGCTAAGATACTGAGAAGGACCAGGCAAGACCCCAAATAGGAACTATTTAATGTTAAATGATACCCGTATTTAATGTTAAATAGGATGTTAAATATTAAATACTATAAATGTTGCATTCCAATACGAAGTATTCAATGCTAAATCAAACTCATTCAAACATTTTACAACAATAGATAATGGTATTTAGAAAAGTCAAATTACCCTCAAATGCAGATAACCAGAAGGAGATGCGTAACTGAAGGTCTTGAATTTACTTTGTCACAGACATTCTTGACTGAAGGAAGCTCTTCATTTAAAGGTACACAGCACTACAGCACTACGATAAGCACCTTTAGCTCAACAGTTTGAAGCAGTTACTGTTCTGAATAATGATCAACGCCATGTCTGGCTGGGTGCCAAAAGGAGATGATCCCAGCTCTATGTAACAAATGATAGTGCATTTTGTGCAGTGCAGCTGCAAATTTTAATTTGTCATTGTGTGGTGGAAGAAATGCTGTCTACCTTGAAGGAGGGCCGTTTGTTGGGCTTGTGTTCCCAGCAGGATTTGATGAGGCATCGCAGGGGTTGGGGACAGGACTCAGGGATGTCTGGCCGCTTCTTTTTCTGCACTGCATCCAAGACCTGCATTACAAAGCAGTTTAAAGACTTGGTTCTGCCTAACTGAGACAGCCACGTTTGCTTGGGCTCATGTCCACGTACAAGGATACTCACATCTAAGGCTTTGAAACTCATGAAACTACAGAGAATATATAGCAATGTTACTTAAGTCTTGAAAAGTGGGTTCCATACCAATGTACCCCTTCACCATGACAATAACAGAATCTGGTTGCCACATTAAGGTTGAGCAAACCATATGGGCAGTGTTTGTGATCCAGATTCTGTATGTGTCAGTGCACTTTATCAGTGGATATGTTACATACTACGTGTGTAGTGCTGTTGCTCATGGACCGGGAATACAGCACAGCATCAGTGGAGGCAGTGGACTACCTCACCATGGGAGATCCAAACCTGCCTCACATAGTTTACATGACCTTGTCCATTCCAGACTGAATTGACAGGCCGATTCCATTTAGAAAGTAATAAGAGACACAGGGATTGAACACACAGTGGATACTATTCAAGTTTGATATCTTTTCCCCCAGCATACCTGAAATACAGAGAGCCCTTTGTAAGGAATCAAGCCAGTCAGCATCTCCCACATGATAACACCAAAGCTGTACACATCAACCTAGTGGAACAAAAATCATGAATTTCCAGAAATAGTTTTGCAGGGAAGATATTTACTTTCTTCATTTTAAAAGACACAAAGCTATTAGCTCTAACAATGGTTCTGTTATATGGAAAAAATGCCAGCATCCTCCTGTTCAAGCGCTTTCAGTCTGGTGTCCAGTCTGCATCATATGGCTTTGCCTGTACCTTGTCTGTGAGGCTGCTTGCAGTATTTTCCATCAGCTCCGGTGCCATCCATGCCGGCGTACCTTGAACTTTGCTCTTCTCCAGGCTTTCTGCCTCATGCCTGCAAGACAGTCAAGTTTTAAAAGACTAAGCTGCATCCACATCTCTTGTCCAGAGCTAGGCCCAAGTCTTCACTTCCTTGGAAATACACAGAAGCACACTGACAATAGACATAGTTGTAGCTCTGGAAGTCTGTTCCAGTCAAAGCCTAAATACTGAATATAATGCAATGCTGAATTTACTTGCTGTGTGACAGCAATGTTTCTTAGAAGTCTATTTCAAGAAAGATTAGTGTTACAGACGTCAAAACCACTTGACCACCAAGTCTGATGGCAACTGGCAAGTAGATACTGCAATTCCAAATGAGGGGATTTTGTGGTAATGATCCAACCTTGTCAGCACTTCCAATGATCATATGCTGAAGTCATGAGAAATTAGCAACTGTATGCAAAAGGAATCATGGTTACTGGATGCTGAATGGATACACTGGTATAGGAGGGAACATTAAACAATCTGCATAAACAATGCAATATAACCTGTACACCAACACAAAAAATAGTGCAACAATTCAAAACGAATGTCAACAAAAGCGTGCGAGTTTATCCTCCGTACAAGACAAAATATCTTTGTCAGGATGCTTCACTTTTCAGCACTTTCAAGAAGTATTAAAAACTTTACCTGAGTTTAGCAAAACCAAAATCTCCAATTTTGGCCCTCCCGTGCAATCCCAGCAACACATTCATGGACTTGAGGTCCAGATGCAGGACCTGGGGATGATGGCGGTGGAGGTAATTCATCCCCAGGGCAATGTCACGGGCAATCTGGTAGTAGGCAACATGGTCTAAAGAACCCCTGTGGGGAGTGGCATTGAAAACAGGTAGAGACAAATCCACATCACACATAATCATAATCATAAACCATCAGGGCAATGATGGCACAATGGAAATTCTCTGAGCTTGGAGTAGTACTGTGAATGTCATTCACAGTTAACGTTCTACTGCATGGTTGCTTTAATTTTACAGTCGTTAAGCACAAGATTGCACACATTTTTTTACATAATATCTGCAGTTCCTCATTCTGAATACTGACCCTAGAAGACTGAAACATGATCAATTTCAAACAACACAAAGTAAAGCAACCTACCTACAAAAAACACGCACATTTTCCCAAAACATTTTACACAAAATGTCAGCACTGTGATGCACAAGATCTTCTGGGAGTTTCTCACCTTAACTTGTCATGGATTCTAGCATACAAGCTACCACCAGCCATGTACTCCAGGACCATCAGGGGTAGTGTGCCAGTGGCACACACCCCTAGGAGTAGGACCACACGAGGATGCCTCAACTCATGCAGGAGACTCACCTGATGTAATCAAGGATTCAGATATATATCACAAAGTCAGGAAATGCACTTCAGCTTGAAAGAAGAGTTCACCAAGTTGCATGAAGAGAACTATTGAACAGTTTTATTAAAAATGTTCCACCAACCTCTTCTGCAAAATAGTTGCGGTCAGCAATATCCAGTGGAATCTTTAATCTTTTAATGGCGACCTCTGAACCATTGAAAAGGCCGTGGAACACTCTTGAGAATGTGCCCTCGCCAATAAGATCTGAAAGGAATTGGACAAATACCCTGTGAGTAATTTCCCCAGATTGATGAACGCAAACATGGCAGCCTCAACTTTTTAAGAGCCACTATTTAAGCACCAACAGGAGAAAAGAGTCTGGATACTCTACCACCCCTACAATTATTGGATTTCAGTGAGTTATCATTTCATCTTCAAAATTCTTACTGTACCTTCTTCGTGGTAGAGTATGTCTCTTTCTGGCAGTTCACAATTTTTGACTGGATCTCGGTGCTTCAGACGACCCAATTCAGACTCCAATAACCTGCAACAAATTACAACAGCAGAAAGTTACACCCAACATTGTAATATCATACCAAAACAACTGAAGGATTGATTTCTAGAGCTTTCTAACTCATTTAGTTAGAAACGTTTTCGGTTGTATGCCATTTAAGGGTTCTTCACCTGATTTGTTTCTTGTGTTGTTCCTTCTGCTTCCGAACCTCCCGCATCAGCTCAGTCTTGGACATGGAGCTGTAAACCCCCCTGGCTGGGCCTGCACTCTTGATGTGGCCCTCTGCCCTAGTTGAGGCCCGTACCGGCTCCGAGGAGGCTGACACTGACGTGTGAGCGGCTGCCAGGTCCCTCCTCAGAGATGCCAGTTGCTGCTGCAGCTTCTCCACTTGGCTTGCCACAGTGGATGCGAAGTCTTTATGTTGTAGTCCTTGGATCTGTTGGAGAAGCAAAGACGTCACTTCTGTGAGTATTCCACAGGGGGAGGGGGGAACATGGTTGGAAATTACAAACAGAAAGTTGTGGACTCACTTTTATTTCCAGGTCCTCAAGTCGTTCTTCAGGAGTTTGTCTCGGGCTCTTCCTGGCTCTGGGAGGTTCAGTGATCACATCATCTTGGTCAGTTTGATTCGATGACACAGATCTTGATAGAAGGGCTCCCCCTGGAAAAAAAATGAATTTTAAAACAGGGACAGAATGGTGCTTCAAAACAGTATAGTAAAGTAATGAAATTTATGCAATGGAGGCATTTTTAATACTTCAAAGTAAAAGAAATACCTTTCGAAAACAAGTTTTAATTTCTTTATAGTTTGGAAAAATACCGAAACCCAAAATTACAAAAACGATCCTAATCATGTTTTCCACTAATCCTGAAGCTGAATCTTGAATCCTGAAATTTTTAAGCCAGAGAACCTTCTTTCAAATAAACTTTCTTCTATTTTCAGTTTCTTCATATGTTGGAAATTTACTGAAACCCTCAAACTTTGAACAAATCTTGACTTATTACATCTTCTGCCAACCTTGAATGTTTAATTTCATGATATCTTTGGTTGGCAATCCGTCCGTCTCACTGCTTCGGTCCTGCAGCTCTTTAGCACTTGCCACCACTGAGGACAACTTCTCATCCACACCCTCTGATTCCTCCCCAGCTCTGCCCACTCTGTCCTCCCCCTCTCCAGCCTGCAACTGTTCAAGCTTCTCCTGTTGTCGTCTGGCATATTGCTGGGCCAGCCTGTCTCTTTCGGCCCGCTTGGCCTGTCGGAGTCGGTCCAGGCGTCTTTGCTGATTTGCCTCTTGCTCCTGCTTCAGTCGGAGTTTGGTCATTGCTGACTGGATCCCTGATGATTGACAGAAAGATGATTGGGAAATTGTAAAAAGAATTCATGGGCAGTTCTGGGGCAATTTATGACACTGCTATATTCACCTCTCCAAAAAAAAAAGAATCTTACTTTGGCAAAAACCATGACTGTGCATAACCTGTGTTGGAGCAAAGGCTACACTAGTGACAAATTGTTAGTTTTTGTTGTTAGTTAACGCTGTTTCTTCTTCTATAATTTGCATCACATCTAATCTTTATTGATGTTTGTATGTAACCAGCGAAAGTTATTTGATCAACAGGATATTTCACTAGTAATCTGTTCGGGCACCCTCTGCTAATACACAAATTTTAGGGTCAAAGGTGAAGATTTCTCATGATTCCAATGATTCCGGTACCATAATTTGCCCCTTAAACAATGTAAATATTAACAAGGGTTTAAGGCCCCAATTTCTATCACATTTGGTTCAATACAAATGTGAACCAAGTATATCATCACCAATCATCATCAACAAATCCATGTATGAACATTTCATGTGGTAATAGCACCACTGAGCTGAGGCTCCTAATCTTCACTAGAGCCTGCCTGCCTACCACTAACTTTATCAGCTAATCATTAGTAATTCCTGCCAGCCTCATGTCATGTGTCACTTGTTAATAAAAATCAGACCATATGGTGAGTTCATGAAACTTATGTAGCATAAGTTCCTGAGGCTACTGTTACTACATGTATTTCTACCCATGTGAAGCACTCAAAACTGTATAATCTAGGGAAATAGACAAATTATGACACACCATAACATATTTTAACATGATCTCATGCTTGTATATGTTCACAGCACTGTCAGTAGCAGAGGTATCTTTGATTTGAACGGGATACGGATGGAAAAGAAGCTTGAGCATTCACTTGTATGTTCGGTATTTAGAGTGAACTTCTGTGCACAACCCATTACACCCAGTTTACACTGTTGTACCAGAGTTCCATCAAAACCAAATTGTACACAACTGTACTGAGACCAACTTGGATTGATCCAAACAGATTTTATATTTAGACAGGTGTACTGAATTCAAGCCTTGCGCAGAACACGAAATAAAAAGTTTGCACAAAAAACTTGTTTCTTGATGTGTCATTACTTGGTAGTTTCTGTAATATGACATGAAATAAATATGAAATCTACAAGCAGAACTAATGCAATATTGATTAAACAGTAACATGTATTATAGAGGATTTCTTTCATTGAGCACATGCATCAATATATTTAAAGCCAGCAAGCAAAAGGAAGGCCATACTGATAAAACAATCTGCATATCATGAAATAAACATGAAAGTGGCAAGCAAAACTCACACAGTGGCACACAGAGCAAATCATTAACAAAGGAAAACGGTCTTTCAGGTTATTGGCAAGGTTTCTGTAAAACATTACCTACATTGTAAATAATGCAAAATTCTCTCCACATTAAAGGGCATTGGCCGATGTTCACAAGTCCCTGATCCTAAAGGTCAAGGCTTTTGCCCACTTAACTTACATGTAGGTTCAGGGCTGTAAAATCCAGCCTTATTGGCCCAGGCACAATATCGCGTTGCACTAACAGGCAATGAACTGTGACTGAACACTACAGGTGCTCATTGGTAAAGTCAGCTAATAAACATGAGTAAGCATTCACAAGTGATGTGAGCTTTTATATAGCCAAAGTCTGTATTGAACACGTATCCCATTAAAGGCCCTATTCATCAGCCATTTACAAAGTGGAACAAAAATCCTAATATCTCCTTAGAGGGCACTTTAAAACCCACAGGATTAGATTCCTTACCTGATGTCAGTGTGCGGTTGACCACGTCTGCAGACAGCGATTTTCCCCGCTTTTTGACATTTCCTTTCCCAATTTTGGTCCTGTGTGTACCACTCTTATCTTCCTCCCCTCGATTCAAATCTGGTGAACAAGTGCCCTTTTGCAAATCAACTTTCAAGTCTTCTTCCGCGAGCCAACTTTCTTTTGAACCCTTTATTTCGGTGGCCAACAAGTCCCTGCTCATTTCCACTGTGATGGGTTTCTTGCTTTGTTCTGGATTCAGATGGGCATGGCTAGACCAACTTGACGAGGCAGGAGTTGAACTTGCAGGTGGTGATGAGGGATCCTTGAGTGTCAGGACTTCTTCAAATGTGTCACGCCCTGTGAGGTCTAGAAATTTGGTTGTTGGAGGTGTCTCTTCAGATTTCTTGGTGAGTGACTGTCCGTTGCTCTCATTTCCTCTTTGGGATAATCTTTTGGCATCTCCTGATGACAGTTTCCGAGACTTGTTCAATTCCTCAATGCCTTGAAGAATTTTAACTAGAGATGGCCCAGGAGCCACACCCATCTCAATAAGCTGGTTCTCTGTCAGGGTAGGCACCCTGTCCATGGTGATTTTGCAGTGCCGGAATATTTTGACACACTCCAGCGAGTCTTCAACATGAAGTGAGCACAGCCAAAGCTCGACAGGGGCATCAAAGAAGAAGTCTGCAACATCATCATCTTCATTCAGCTCCCTCTTGGGATGACCCGCTGCATCCGAAAAGTCTTGATGGGAGATAGGTTTGCGTTGATGATTTTCTGCAATGGCAGATTTGTGTTTCTGAGCTGTGGGTTCCATTTTGGCATTTCGGACATGTTTGGTGTTTCCGCCAGAGACGGCATATGAGGACCCTGAGGTATATCCCCCCTTCTTTCTTCCTTTATTAGTGCCACTCTGTGATGTTACTCCCCCAGAGGCCAACTTCTTCTTTTCCTTGGGAAAGTTTGACAGGAGCTCAGGTTTCAGATTTGCACTGGCCTTGGCCATCACTTTGGCTTTGAGGTATGCTATCCTCTCAGAGTATGAAGCACCTTCAACTGATGTGGAGCCTTCATTAGCTGGGTTTCTCGTCACTGTCTTGATGACAGGCTGCCCGTGGTCAGACACGGGGTTACTCGGAGATGTTGATGAGGAGGGAGATTCCTCTTCCTTACTCAGGTCAAAGGAGACTCTCCTGTCTCCATTTTTGCTTAGTTTACCTGCAAATCAAAATGAGAACACACATCTCACTGAACGTGACATTCTTATGATGGGTCTATAATATTCTAAACATTTCTAGTGTAATAGAGGAGATGAATTAGTGGACTTAGGAGAAGGGTCCTAGCTGAAATACCTAGGTTATTATTCACAATTGCACACGCCCTTTACATACCTGACTGTATTAGACTATCCCGTTTGCTCGTTTTCTGGGAATGTAGAAGTGTATTAATCTTTATGCCTCCCTGCAATGATTGCGCCCTCTTGTGTTGATCTCCCCCTCCTGCCTTCCTGTTTGTGCCATGTCGCACTGGTGCTGACTTCACTCTCATGTTCCCCCTCCCTTGTTCGCTACCACTCACACCTTTTGCAACTATGAGCTGCACACCCCTATCCTCCTTCCTGAATGGTTGTGAAGTAGCCACATCTTCCTGGCTCCTGGATGCGACTGGAGTGAAGCTCTGCGTTCGGCCCCTTCTGCAGCGACCTGTGACCCCTGCACTTTTGGCTCGTGTCACCTGCTTGGCCAGCTCATTTGAAGTTTTGTCAGACAGGTTTTGATTCTGGAGAAGCTCCTTGTGGGATCGATACCCAGATATCTGACCTTTAGCACCAGACAGCCACTTTGAGTTTCCAGTAGCTTTGCTGCAAACAAATGGAGGGAAAGGGTAAAAGTAGGATTTAAAACCTAAATTTCCACACTGCTTCAGAGAACATGATCTAATATCATACAAAGCCTGCTAAGAACTAGAACAGTATTCTTAAGTCTTGAAAGAAATTCATACAAAATCATTAATAGTTGTTACTGGTACCTTATTTGACTACTGATGGAAGAGTCTTCAAGTAGTCTGGCTTTCTGCTGATAAAGGGTATTCTCCATCACTGCAATATCCTGCTCCAGCTTGTCATTCTCCTTCCTCAAGTTGTTCATTCTGTGAAGAGAGTGAGAAACAGGTGACCAGCCTATACAGTACCGTAACTTGCCAGAAAATAAGGAACTTGACGATCCCTTAAACTATGGGGTAGTACAGTGTGCACTCTGTGTCTGCGAATCTACGCGATGAACCCCACTGTTCTAGGGTTAGGACTTGGTGTACATGTATGTAATATAATTATCAGCAGATATATTACTCTTTTGGACAACGGTCATTTGACCCTCCTTACAAAATTCAAATTACACATACATGTACATGCTTATATCTAAGGTTGATGAAATGATTAATACATTTTTGCTATGGGTATTCTCTCTATGGCAATGCAAAGGTCTGGAGGACCGAAAAGTTAATCATGGGAGGCCATTGCTAGAAAATAAATGTTTAATTCTTAACAATTTTGGCATTCGAAGATGTCATACATGTAGGCCTTGAATGATATAGCGCCTACACTATCGCTGCAGTTTACATGTGGCTATGGTGGCCTAGGGTCTAAGTACGCCAATGTAATTTAATGGGAAACTCCCCCCCCCACAGTTTTGAGGGTAATGGGAAAAATTCCAAACTCATTGCAAAACAATGACATAAAGTGTGAATGGGCCTACACGATCAAAAACTGCTGGACCAAGACATTTTCATGTATCTAACCTTTTTTCTTCAAATTTTGGACTTGAAATCCAAAAGTTGAAAAATATGATCGCCACTCATTTTTTTCCTACAGTCTTCTGTCAGCTATCAGAAAGCAACAAATGTTCCAAAAAGACAAAATTAGGCTTAGGAGTGAAAATATTGAGGTGTTCACAAGGGAAACAAGTAGCATATTTTAGACCATTCTCATAGATTTTGTGCACAGAGTGTCAAGCAGTGTCTGTAGCCTAGGCATGGTAGGCCTTATAAACAGATGTTACGCCCCAACTATAGCATCAGTCAGTCCCAACTATAGTTGGGCCTGTCCCAACTATAGTTGGGCCTGTCCCAACTATAGTTGGGTCCGTCCCAACTAGAGTGCTACAGTTGAGCCGGCCCAACTACAGCAGAGAGGTCATGTGTGCATGATGTGCCCAGCATATGTTCCAAAGTCATATTGCTTACACATGTCATGTCATCGGTCATAGGGCTAGATGAACAGATGAAGTGCCACATTTTAGATGAATTGTGTCAAGTGTGAGACTAATTGACTTGGAATTGGATAATGTTGAGGCATTTCCCACAGACTTTGGTCAACAATAGTTGGGCCATCCCAACTGCAGCACTACACTTGGGACTGTCCCAACTATAGTAGGGACTTTATGCTATAGTTGGGCTGTAACATAGAAAAACTCTTAAAGGGGTCATGCTATTTAGCATGAACAAACAGCAATGAGCATCAACGAGGTATCAAAAAGTTATTCAAGCATGTTTCTAGTACTAAGTAGGCTTTTACATAATCAATAGGGCCTAGGCCTATAGACATTTATCTAACATAACATTTGAGTCAGGAAATTTTAGCAACAATGTTGGATCTGCTCGTGCAGCCCAACCGGCTGACATCTTGTTTTCATGTGGACTGCAGAGAAAAGATAATAGGCCTACATTGCTAAAAATTTTCGTTTTCCTATGTGAATCTGAAACTTGTGAAAAAAAATCCCTGTTACTCTTACACAAAAAGTAGCACATGTTAGAGTCGGTAAAATTATGATAGGCCTAGGCCTAAAACCATTTTGAAATCTTTGGAGGATATTTCAAGTTGTTGACACTTTGTTGACGCTACTTGTGTGTATTGACGCTTACTGACGCTTGGTGATGCTCATAGCACGACCGTAGTAAACTTATTTATAGCCTAAAGCCAGGCGTGGAATTCTTTCTAATTGTTCACGAATTTGATGCAGCGGCAAAGATGCCGGGCACCGTCCCTCGCCAACAACAGCCACTTGTTCAACGGTGAGTTTTATACCTTTGAAAGGTTTTTCAACATTATCAAGAAAAGCCAAACTGAAAGACTTACTCAAATTTAGTTGCCATGATTACTAATCATCTTACAAATAGAAATACAGACAGTTTTGTAGGCATACTTGTCAGTTCAACCAAGTCCCGCTAGTGCTACAACACTCCGGAGGTAGGACAACGATAAACAAAGTATGTGATACGAACCACTTTGCGGCAGGCAGCCCGATTAGAGCTTCAGCAAAATAAAGTTTATTAAAGTCTTTCCAGGGAATTTATGGAGGTAGGTCGTATTATTGCACTCTGGGGATTTTACACTTATTCATGTACCACATTAAAAAACAAGAAACAAATATCATTTCCATTATCATGCTTCAACGGTAGGGTTAGTGGTTTATCTCATATCTTTTTTTTTTCTTGCAAACCTTTCATGCAACAACACAGGAAAAAGCCTCGACAGGTAAGAAGTCTAACACGTGTGACGTATGTACGGTGAACGGGCCATTAGAACAAATTGACCAATTAAGAATTCCACCACAGGCAGTTTTCACCTAGCTAGCAGCCAGCGGCCACATGAACTGAAAAAGATGTCCCCGTGATAGCTCCATGGACTAAGAAAACATCGGTGAATGGTAAATATAGGCAATTTACACAACAGCAAAACGACCTAAAATGTTTTTGAAAGGTATATTTTGAAACTGTGCCACTTCGTCTCTTCCTACCTAGGCATAACGTTCGTTGGCCTACTGTAGTCATGTTATTGTTACTGATACTATAAAGCGTTAGTACTAAGTAGGCGTTTTACTTTTTTACTTGATGTAGATCATGGACTGATGGAGGAAGCAAAACAAAGCCCATTACTATACTAGGCCTACTTCCAAATAATCTCTGTAAAACCTTACAACAGTCCTGGAAGTAGGCCTACATGTAGGCTAGTCCATGACCGTGTAGTCGCCAGGTCCCTAATTCCGTCATCTATTGTCAAGTGCGATTGGCTTTCACAGTAAGGGGCAACATAAGGGACCTGGCAACTATACTGCCATGGACAATTAAATATCACTTATTTATGTAATGTTCTTGGCAACTATACTGTCATGGACAATTGGATGTCACTTATTTATGTAATGTTCTTGTTTTTAGACAGTAAGGTGAAAGTATCCTAGCTGTGAATAGTGAAACATCAGGCCTGTAGACCACCTACCTTGGACACAATGAATGAGATCGCCAAGAATGTGCAAACATTCCTGGAGACATTACAGAATGCTGGTGGGGAGCAGGTTAAGCAGTGGAATGCAGAGGCATTGCAGAGAGCCATCCAGTGGGCCAAGTATTTTGAACAGGTAAATTTCTGTGGGTGGAGCCAGAGGGGCCACTAGGGGGAGGGGTCTCGCTGCCACCATTTGATTATGCAGTCGTGTCACTTTCAATATGATTTGTTAGGGGCAGGGAGAGGGGAGTGGTTCTTTCCCCTGTAGATTTGCCTGTGTTTTAAATTGTCCAATGGTTGGTGTACCATAGATCATTAAGCCAAGAAATCTGGTTCACAAATATCTAATTGGTGACATTTCATCTTCTTTATTTGAAACACAAAACCACAGGTTCACAAGAAGCTTGCAAACAAACCCCAAAACATCCAGCAACTCAACCGAGTACTGCACCTGATTGGTCATCTGCCCAGAGCAGCTGTCAGCCAATCAGAAGTTACCTTTGAAAGTCTGGGCCAGTCAGTGAGGTTGTTACTTCGGGTAGGGGAGAGCAACATCACCTCAATGTATATAAACCTAATGTGTGTAGAACTTGCTGCCCTGGTAAACTGGTGTTAAAAAAAGTTTTTCTGGGTTCTAGGTGATGAACAGCCATTGTCAAAGATTAAAATTCAAGGAAAGCTACAAGTTGCAAAACATTGTCGGGACACTATTTAATTGATACCTTCCTCATTCAAAGTTAAAGGTTACAAATCATATGACATTTTCATGCATGTGATTTATCTTTTTTTAACCAAAGTGACAATTTTCTACAACATTCTTCATATTATTTACTGGAAGGCATTACTGCAGAACCCTCATCTGGGCCAGGATCTTCACCGAGAGGTTATCAATCAATACATTCTGTTGGACCAAGATGTGATGCCTGATGGCAGCTGTGCGAGCAATTCCATACTTAAAGAGGAGAATGCAGCAAGCCAGAGGAGCCAGATCTTCATGCAGGTTAGTAGGAGTTTCAACTTGTGAATTCCTAGATAAGAACTCAGTGAATGGAGGAACTCACTGATCAGCTGTTGGTTCAGTAGACTGCTTTTAAAGTGAGCTGCTTGAGTGAGGGAACTCACTTATCAACTGTTGGTTCTGTGGAGATCTTCAGTAAGTTGCTTGAGTGGAGGAACTCACTGATCAGGAAGTCACTGACTCATCTGCTACCTGACTAAACTATTTTCCAAATCAAAGCTCCTTCTCCTGTTTAGGCTTCATTTAAAGGCTAAAGAATTATCTTTATTCATTTGCTGCTGAAAGTGAATGAAAATGCTCCAAGCATTGGCCTCAGAGTGAACAATTTGGTGTCTTTGTAGTGCATCAGAGATTCATTAAACCACTGAATGCATTAAGCCAAAACTACAGCTAAAGCTGTAGACATTGCCAGGGTTTACAAAAACATTGACCTCATTTCACACATGTAAATTAGGATAGACTGTCATGGTCTTAAAACTTATAAAATCTCAGTGGTGGCTGTTCGCTGCTCAGTGGTGTTAACATCATAGAGGCTGCCCCTGTGCCTGTGAGCCTTTCCTTTGGTAATTCAGCTCTCATGTAGTGCACCAACTGTTAATAATGCACTTGTATTCATCATGCATTCTGATTTACTTATCAATGGTGATGATTGATAGTACATTCACACAGCTGTTCGCTGCAGGAGCCCCACACATTGGCAATTTAAAGCCATAATTGCTGCAGGTTGCTGTGCATCAAAGCTAGTGGTATCCCAACAACAAAGATTCCTAGCAAAAGAATTGACCCTTTGGCCTTGCATGCCCTTGATTGGAATTTGATGATGACAGCCATTTTTTTCCTTCAAAGTCAGCTTCCTAGCAGAGCTTGTCAATTCCACTTTTTGGTCAGTCATTTTGATACGAACATGTATGTGACTAACTTTCCCCCTCCTGTCACGTTTAGGATGTCTCCAGATTTGCCAAGGCCAAAGCAATGCGGATGCACCTGCTTGAGATGAGATCCAGGCTATCCAGTTCCCTGAAAGAGGACCTGAATATCGAAGGTAAATTACTGGTGAGGGTGCTTTCAGCCTGTAACCAACAGATATCCCAAGCTTTATTTGAGATCTGACCAAGTATTTCACTTGAGATATCTTTAGAATTTAATTCCTCTGTTTCTATAGGAAAATCTGTTCATCAAGTTGCCATGGAAACAGATGCCACTGTGCTTCAAGATCACCTGATGCATCACCTGACTGGCAGCCAATCACCTCAGAAGTGAGTTTTAATTATAGCTCAGTTCAACTGATATTCAAAACATCAAAATTTTTCAAATCATAATTAATTTGTTATATTAAATTTATTCTGTATTTTCTCTTTTCCTGGCAGAACTGAAAACTACCTAAACCAGCGTTTGCACTCTGTTGTCAAACTACCAAATGGACTTGTAAGAGAATTGAAAATTAGTTTTCCCATCCAAATTTAAATTGAGGGATTATGAAAGTTTAGGGCCTTTGCATGGACAGTAACTACATTAAACTGATATCAGGCGATATTAAGTTTCAGTTTCGAACTTCATCAGTATTTATACTTATGTCGCTGAGCAAGGTACTTTGACACAATTCATTTCAGTCCGTCAGGAGCACACAGGTATCCTGATCTTATTTGGTATTAACTGAGACATTACTCAGTCGCTTAAAACGGGTTTATTATTTCGGTTTTATTTTCAGGAGACTATTGAGACCATCCTTACTTTGCCTGGAGATGAAAATGAAGCAGCGTCATTCAAAAAATGCCAACAGTTTGTGTCACTGTGGATATCCAAGAACAGACAGCAGTATACCAATCATGGAAATATGGACACAGGGTAATTGGTACATGTGGTGAGGTGCCTACTGGAGAGATGGGCCATAGAAGAGAAGCAGATTTTTTGAATGATTCCTCAGAAAAGTATTGAGTAGGTCTAATCAAATTCAGACTTCCAACTGCCATGTTCAGGAGGAGGGGCTTGGAGTAATGAAAATGGCATGCCAGCTTCATAAGGTATTTGGTTTTGTTCAAGTTGTAAGTGCTTAGGTCAGCATAATTGGTGATGCTTGTCAACCACTTCCAGCCAAACATATAGTTAACTGCAAATTCCTTGCAGAACCCAATTGACAACCACATCAAGAACAAACAGCTTAAAAAAAGAAATTAAATTGCAATTTTTATGGTAGTTCAGAGTTGAGTTCATATTTTAAAACTGTCAACCAAGACTAATGGTTTTGAAAAGCTTTGTCTCTTAATGAGCAGTTATGTACTGATTAGAGTAACCGATATTTGAGTTTTGTAAAAACAAACTCGATTTATTTCTACAACATCAATGGTAAAGTTTAAAAGTGAATGCAAGTAAAATCTTTATGTGTAAATGAAAATACAACACTGGCCTTTTAAACTTTTACAGTGCTATCTTTCTTTTCGCTAAAAGAATGTGAAAATGTCATGAATTAGAGTATGAATTTTGAACAGATGATTTGTTCTTTTTAATTGAAGCTTAAGTGTAACTTTTTGTTGAAAACAATACAATCTATCAGTATTTTAAGATACTCAGACTCTTAACTTCAGCTACCAAAATATGTACATTTTTATGCAAATATCAATAAATTGTTGAAAAATATCTGTGTTCTTATTCGTCGAGAGGTGTCTGTCTATTCAACAAACTTGGCCCTCTGTGAGGAAAATAATCAGTTGAAGAGTTTTTCATTGCTAACTCGGGTAATTTGTCTAATGTTTCAATGGTAAATACTAACCTACCACTTGAAATAGTTCTTTCCGTATTAAAATTAACAGAAACGTGTGATAGAGTTGTGTATTAACCCTAACAGTCCTCAATCCTTCACCTGTTGGAGGATTGAGGACTGTTAGGGTTAATGAAGAATTTTATTTTTCTCCAAGTAGTTTGATGGCTGTGATTTTATTGTCAAGGAAACCAACCTGGTTTTGCCTCGCATTTCAGTGTCAATTAAGAATTTTATAATTAATAGTCCTTTCTCATCAAGTTCACTTAACCTCTATCAAATCCATTTTGTCATCATTGCCCGTCTTGGAAGACATCCCCGACTTGCTTGTCTCCATCTCAATATCTCCTACCTGCTGCTTGCTCTTGCAACAGATGAATTGGAAAATGGTGATGATTAACGCTAAGATGAGGCATCCGCCTACGACACTTCCAATGATGATGCCGACTAGCGCGCCAGGTGACAGGCCTTCGTCTTCGCCAGAGCTGCTTGTGGTGTGTGAGGCGTCCTTGGTATTCCGTAATGTGTCTGTGGTCGGTGGGATCTCCGTGGTCTGTGAAGAGTGCGTGGTATTCTGTAAAGTGTTGTTCGTGGTCTGTTGGGAGCCAGTGGTCTCTGTCGAGGATCTTGTTATGGGGTCTTTTGTGCCATTTGAAAGAGCCGTAGTCTGTGAGGCAAGGTCTGTCGAGGAGGCTTCTGTGGCCTGCAAACCACCCGTGGTTTGAGACTCGGGTCCGCCCGTAGTCGGCAATGCGGCACTGGTGGTCAGTGGTTCGGGCACTACAGTGGTCTGCAGTCCGGCAGGTGTAGTTGGTTGCTCGGACCCAACCCTCACACCCGTGGTCAGTGGTCCGGGCCCGGCCGTAGTCTGCAGTACGGCAGGTGTAGTTGGTTGCTCGGACCCAACCCTCACACCCGTGGTCAGTGGTCCGGGCCCGGCCGTGGTCTGCAGTACGGCAGGTGTAGTTGGTTGCTCGGACCCAACCCTCACACCCGTGGTCAGTGGTCCGGGCCCGGCCGTGGTCTGCAGTACGGCAGGTGTAGTTGGTTGCTCGGACCCAACCCTCACACCTGTGGTCAGTGGTTCGGGCCCGGCTGTGGTCTGCAGTACGGCAGTCGTGGTTTGTGGCTCAGATGTTGCCGTAGCACCCATGGTCAGTTCCCCAGTTCCTAAAAATGTCATAGTGACTCCAGCCGTTGTTTGAGCCAGAGTAACGCCAAGCGAGCTTGTTAGCAGCAGGCACATAGCTACTACGGAAGGATACTGAAACATAACCATTGTTGTCTGGAGGGGAGATGTTGGTGTTTCTGCAAGAAAATAAAATCAATACTGCTAATGAACACGAACGATGTTAAATTAATGCCAATTGGAATACATGTGTGGTTTTTCTCCCTTTTGCTGTGAAGAGCTGAATTTCCTTTTCATACCCTCGGAAAGCAGGTTGGTTTGAGCCCAATCGTTCGTAGTCACTCAATTCAGACGGAGCAATGAAGAGAATAATTGATTCTGTTTTTAAGGGAGGCCGATCCTCTAAATTCTAGCATGGTGGGGAGATAAGATTAAAATTTCTTTTCAGCGAGTCGACACAAAAGTATTTTCCTATTTTGCTATATGCAGTATCTTTACACTTCTCGTTGAAACCAATACACCTGCACGACCTAATAGGATTGTGAAAATTCTGATCACTGATAAATGTCATGGAGAATTAAACTAATCCCCAACCCTCGTGATTAAAGGGAGAAGAGTGTGTGACATGATTCAACTAACAATGATTTCCTCAATAAAGGTTTGTGCCTTTTTTTTTTCAAGATTCAACCCACCAAGGGAATAGGTTTCAAAAGAAAAGAAACTCATTAGGGATGGGCGTTACAAGACATCGGCTAGTTCACTGGTCTTGCGCATATGCTCCGTGATGCTATATTTTTGTGACACTGTGAAAAAAAATATGTCGACGTAAAGTAATCTAACGTCCTGTGTGGGTTACAGTGCGAAGTCGCTCAGAAGTTCGATTTCTGATTTTGAATAAAACTGAGACGATCGTTGCGCGACGACATGTCCCTGAGCCAATTGATCATGGTTACCCAGTGTCACAGTGGAGAAAACATAATGATGTTCAACGTGACATTTTAAAACACTGTTACCTCAATTTGAAACCGTGGTCTTGGCAGTCTGCCGAACTGTAGTTCAACTGTAATTTTTCTCCTTCCCCGAAGTTATGAAATGACAGCCACAATCGATTCCTTTCAAGTTTAGTCCTATCGTGTGCGATGACGATAAATGAAGATGCCCGTTCAAGGTGTGGCCTATATATTGTCCAGTGTTAATGATGTTCTCTAGTCTCCATGGAGTATACAAACAAACAGATGGTAATCTGGTCTGATCCAATGGGTGATTTTAATTATGTGTATCAAGCTTATAATCTTGGAGTTCATTGAAAAAACACAAAAACTGTGCGTTTCTAAACTGTATTTTACACGATCTTCTAGTCCTCTAATATTGAAGTTTAACCTGACGGTTGACCATCCTCTCAGAATATCACGCTTGTACCTGAGCGAGAGAAGATGAGATGTGAATGTGTTCCGGTGGAAGTTAGGGAAGGGTCAGCCAGGCCAACAACATGGCGAACTGCAAGCTTTATCACATAGGCAAATAGCGGTTATCTCTGGGGGTATGGAAGGTAATAAGGATGGTTATCTAAAAACACACAAGAGGTAAAGCTGCCCGCATGGTAGAAAATATTGCATTATGGTTGCTAGATTGCCTAAACCTTGCCCCATTAAGTTCGGATATGCCCGCAGCCGAAGCCCGCTTGCAAAAGTAGGCTAAAAGGAGGTGTATTGTAAGGTGTGTGGATGAGAATATCTCGGACGATGTCTTCCTCACCATCCCTTACGTTTTCGATAACAGAAATGCCAACGCAGTTTGGCCACGCAGTTTGGCCACCTCGGCGTGCTGCTTGCACAAGAAAGGTGACGGCGGCCTGGATAGGGCGGGTCAGTTGGGGGGGGGGCACAAGTGTTCCAGATCTTCGCCAGGAAGTCTGGAAGCACTGCTGGCGTTGAGAGGGTGGGGTGTGTCCGTATATGCGCCTGGTGTAACCTTTAACTGTTGGTGTAAGAATGTAAATCATGTAGTTTCGTATAAATATATATTTCTTATGGAATTCCATATCTGCCGTCGTGCGTCGCCCGTCGTCCGTCGTGCGTCGCCCGTCGTCCGTCGTCCGTCGCCCGTGGTTTTTGTTTTTGTCACAATTGCGCAGTGGTACTTTTAACTTTTACCATTGATCGTTTCACATATACATGTTCTTGTTCGATCGATCCACCATGCCTGACTCTCATTTTAGCAATAGAACTAGAAGATGTACTGTACATGTATTCGTTTTTGCAGTA